AAGAAAAGAAAGAAAGAAGGAAAGAAGAATCAGGAAGAAAAAAAAAAGTACTAGAGAATTCCTGGGCATCCCGGGTCACTTTTCCAGGGCAATTCCACAGGGTTTAGGAAGCGAAGGAAGAGAATGGAATGAAATTCCAGGTTCTTTCGAATGAATGGGGGAAGGGCAGAGGAAGACTCGAGAATCTAAATGTCAAGACTTGGGAAATGTGGACTCGCACAATAGACATCAGAAAAACCTGATTCCTTTTCCCCGGCTAATATTTTCAACCGCACGCAGTTCTGATCACTTTGAAAATAAAAAGCAAGAAAGGACAGCTGGAGGTGCCGTGCCGGTTTCTCCGGGGGAGCCCAGTTCCCACTTGCAAAAGGAGGAATGCCCGCATGGCTCCCGCCCTGGAAATGCCTTCAGAAACGCCACCTGCCCTTCTCGGCCAGCCAATCCAACCCCCCACCCACCGCTGCCTTAAAAAACAGCCTTTTTAAAAAAGAAATCTTTCCTAAATTTCTCAAAGCCTGAAACGTACACAGAAACCCACCAAAGACTCTCAGATCCGCCCTAAAAGTCATTCAGGGATTCCCAGGAAGGAAAAATAAATAAATAAAAATAGAGCAGAATAAGGCCAGCCCGGTGCACGGGTCTCCGCCCTGGAAATGCGGTGCCGGGCACTTCCCGGGAGGAGGGAGCAAAGCCGACCTTGCATGGCGGTACCTGGAGCCAGTCCTCGCCGGGCCGCCGCTCCCCGCGCTCCTGGGGTGGGCGAGGGTTGCGGAGGGGGACGCCCTCGCGCTCGCCCCTCGCGTCCTGCAATTTGGTCGCCGTCGCAGCCAGAACCGTTTTTAAATTTCCCTCTCTGGAGCTGTCCAGCTCGGAGCATGCGCAGTATGCCCGCGGGGGGTCTTTCCCCCCGAGGGTCAGTTACAGGGCAGGGTCAAGGGGATCGCAGCCGGCGCAGCCTTGCGCAGCCTTGGGGCTCCAGGTGGGGCGGGGCGCAGGGGTAGGGACACCCCTCTTCACACTCGGCCCCCGGTGGCAGCAGCTACATGCCTGCGAGCTTGCCTTGAGGAGCGATTTAGGCCAAAAGACTTAAATTGCAAAAGGATACTTGGATGCATGAAAACTTGCAATCCGTCCCTGTCCAGCGGGAAGGGCGGTGGGCGGATGGAGAGATTGCAACCCTCTTTCTCCCCTAAAGAGGGGACGGGCCAGGAGGCCGAGTCGGGGCCGCAGGTATAGACCGGATGCCGGCCACCTGTCCCTTTAAGAAAGTTGCGCCCGGGCGGGCGGGCGCG